TCATAATATATGTGTTTTGTTGTAAATATTTGTGTAATATTTTAGTGAAACCTTTTTTTTTTAAGAAACAAAGACTCATTAAAGGCAAAATAGGAAAAGGATGGGTTGGGGTGATTTTAAGTAACAAATCTCCTAAAGTGATATGTGCACTCCCATGTTTACTGCAGCGCTATTCTCAACAGCCTAGATATGGAAACATCTTAAATGTTCATCAAGCAGATAAATGGATTTAAAAAAGATGCACGTATACACAATGGAGAAATATTATTCAACCATGAGAAAGGAGAATAGCCTGCCACTTGCAAAAACATGGATGGACCTTGAGCACATTATACTACATAAGGTAAGTTAGAGAAAGATAAATATTATATATTACTTAATTTGGGATTTTAAAAAGTCCAATTTCTAAAAATCAGAGCAAAGTGATTTACCAGGGGATAGGGAGTGGAGCAATATGATTGATGTTTAAGGCTACAAGCTTGCAATAATTGGCAAATTAGCAATGGAGATCTAACATACTGTATAATGAATATAGACAATAATGGTCTATTGTATAATTAGGTAATGTGATAAATATTGCTCCACTAGCAATCATATTACAATATATGTGTATAAAAGTAATACATTATATACCTTAAATTAACACAATGTTATATGTCAAATATATTTAATTAAAAAAATCTCATGGGTCAATATACAATGAAGTATATATTCTGTCTTCATAGGGAGAATAAGTACCCAGAAAACATCAGGATGAAGGCAGCTATTCTCTCTAGCTCACTTGTTTTCTGAATCCCAAATTTCTAGGAAAAAAATATGATTGGTATTATTATAGTTTATGGGTCAATAGTCAGCTGATAGATTGGCTACACCTGTGTCAGGCCCCCAGCAGGGCTGGTTCCATGGTTAGATGCAAGGTCATGAGACATACAGGACTGCTTATTTCAAGGGCTATGCATATAGGTACTTGGAGTCATGTCAATTACACTTTCCAGATGTTTAATGACTTTCTGATTTTATGAAGTTGTTAAATTTGCATGATTCTATGGTGTTTCAAAAGACAGAGCAACCTGGATGCTTTAGACGGAAAAAATGTAGACAACCCTTATTTAAACTGTTTGACAAAACTTCAGTTTCAACTGCTTTCTCCAACATACAGATTTTATAGCCTTAGCTCTGGATATAACTTCATGCCAAAAGACATGCAGCCAGCTCTGTTCACATTGGTCCCCTCCCTCACAGAGGAGTAGAGATAGGTCATGGTAGAGATGAGATCTGAGGTCTTTCTCTCTTCGGAGGATACATGGCAGAAACCTCTACTCTGCTCTGCCATACATTACCTCACTTTTCCACACTGAACCTCTAGTCCATCTTTTTCTAATTACCGCCCAACATTACCGATTCCAATTTTTCATTGTTGAAAGCCAAATTCTTCCAAAGGCTAAAAGATGGATTCATGACTGTTGGCATTTTTCTAGTGTGGGAGACACTTTACTAGTCCAAGGCCCTGCAGAGGCTATCATCATGACCACGACATGTATCCGATCCTCTAAGAGAATAGGCTCACACACTATGTATCTGCACCTTTGGTTAGAAAGTGTTAGAGCCTCAATAAAACACTAAAGCAGAAACAACCCTCTTTGGAGGTGGGTACAATCAGGAAACTTTCAGAAAAAGCTCTACAGGTAACTATTTGGCTGGGTTGCTAAAGGCAGAGGGATGATTTGCATATTCAGAGAATGTGCTAGAGGTGGGATACAGCCAATTCTGCAATCCTGAGAGGAATTGTTATTAAGCTCTAGCATCCTCTCCCAGGACAAGTTTATTCCACTGCACTCTTTCCCTCATTTGCCACCTGCCTCTTTTTAACATTCCTTTAAAAACAAACACCACCCTCACACCCTAACCAGCGCGCTTTGTGGAATTTTTATGTTCACTGTTCCCACCTCCTCCCTAGGCATCTAAGAATGAGGAAAGAGTGTTCCTGCTTTTCTCTTTCCCTTGCTGGCTTTGCTGTTCTTTGTCAGGAATTCACTACTAGACATTATAGGCTAATATGAAAATAACATTAGAAAGTTACAAAGTTTTCATAATAATGAAAGGTTCAGGCTGACTTCTTTCTGAGACGGTAATTTAAAAGTTTCTTTGGATTTCTGCTATTTACTTTTATTCTTGAGGATGAGCCACTGTCAGGGGAAGCAGAGGCCCCATTTCCCACCTCAATTTCCCAGCAGTTAGAGCCACCAAGGTGGTGGGGCTAGCAGGTGAAATGATTCCTTTTCTCAAGTAAATAATTTGCACTTCTATGTACCCAAAAGGATGGGAGACAATGCACTGGAAATCTGGATTGAAGCCTTGCAATTTGCAAGTAAAAGGCACATTTGTAAAGGAAAACCTTGTTGGCAAAAAGAGTTGGGGTTTTGAGTGCAAAGAGCACAATCTTCAGAATCATTTCAGTTGTATTCAAGGGCAGAACATTGAAAGTGGAAAAAATAGAAGCCACAAGAAATTCCCTTCAAATCGTCTCTTAGTGATTTAGCCAATAGAAGGATAGAAGGGAGGTGGTGTTACTGAAGGTCACATATTGTAAGATATAGGATAAAATTTTTGGAGGAGAGGATGTAACACATGATCTAAGAGAGTGTTTATAATCAATGGAGGAAAATTCTGGGGTGGGAGGATGGCCAATGTTTAAGAGCACAAGTGAAGTGTGAGCTCAGAACAGAAGGCTGGCACCCTTTTCAGCCAGGACTGAAAGAAGTGATGAAGTGTGAAAACTGAGACTGAGGTTTAGGAAAGTTAAGTTCAGAAACCTCACGGTGGATGCCTCAGTCAAGTAGGAGACAAGATCATTAGCAGAACTGGAAGAAGACCAAGTACAGTGGAGGCTGAGTAGAGCAGAAATAGGACAGTTTTGGGAGAAGTGCCCTGAATAATGTCTTTGCATCAGTATCCTAGATAATCACCCTCCTGATGAGGAAAGGAATTTAGAGAATCAGTGAAGATCCAGCCAAGACTGGATAGCATAAACTTTTAGTGGAACAAAGTAATTTCTTTATCCAACAATGCTTGGTTGTGCAGGAGCAAGTTTAAAAGAAATCTTTCACTGGAGCATAAAAATGACTAATAATAATGTGAATGACAACATTTTAAGGGATATTATTCATGGTGAATTTTAGTAACATTTAAATCATTACAAACATGAAATACACAGTACCAAAATACTCATCAAACATGTGATCTGAGAAATATGCAAAAAAGAAAAGACTACAGGAGTAAAAAATAAATTAGTTGTTTCTTTCCTTTTATGTTAGCCTAAGGCAAGGAAAAAGGAAATATCAATGTTTTTCTTTCCATTTGACATATCTTCTATTGATTATTATAAAAAAAATTTTTTAAGTCATTGGTATTTTGTTAGTACATTAAAACTGAGTTTTATTTATAAAAATTTGCACTTTACTTTTTCTATTCTCTTATAAACAAACACCAAAAAGAAAACAAAAGGCTGAAATTGAAAGCACAATGAGCTAATTTTCATGATGGCAAAGCATGAGACAGCACTCCAAGTTTCCTTCTGATTTCTTCCCAATTCTGTAAATATTTAGGGGGGGAGCACTCATACGTTTAGCTGTTTTGTTTCACAGTCCAATCCTGCATAGGATTATGGACAAAGTTTGAATTTTACTACAAATTGTGAAAGACACTTTCTAATTAAGGTACCATTGAACAATTCTTGTTTATTTCCGTAATTTTTAATTATGGCAAGATAACAAACAATAGCATATATCCAACTTAAAATTCAGGACACTAGAAAGACATATGTGGCTTGCACACACATTAATCTGTTGCTTTTAACAAAATATTTGTAATTTCCAAAATTCTATCCGTTTTTTCATACAATATGGTCCCTCCAAATTGAAGGGCAGTAGCCTAAACATAGTCTTCTTACTAAAAAAACTAGTGTAAAAATGGCAAAATCAACAAAAAGAAGGAACATAAGAATATCAGTGACTATATCACAAAACAAAATAATGCTTAAAAGCCCAATATGTTCACAAAGTTCTATTTTAATAGCTAGTATCTAGATATGAAAATTATTTACAAAAAACAATTGGTATTTACAAACTAGCAAAGTGACTTTAAATGAAAGCAAAGCACTTATAATTAAAGCTCAAGATTTTCTGTGTGACTCCATGTCTCAGTTTATTTCTTTATCAGACTTAGAGATAAACTTGAAAGTATGCAGAAAACAAAATCTACCAAGTGTAATCTATTTCCTTTACTCCTGTGAAATCATCAGAAGACATGAAGGACCAATTGCCTGTGTCTTGCCCCACCTTGTAAACTCTTAGGGGAAAAAGCATGCACCTGTCAAGCTTATAGTGCAGAATGCACACACAGATGGGCGTTTGATAAATATCCTTCAATGGAGAGATTAGAGGTTTTCTTTGGGAGGCAGGGAACACATCTCATGCACTGACTAGATGACATCCATCATACAATACGTCAGCCTGTTTCCTCATCAAAATATCATCCAAAGGAAGTCTTTGAATGATGTTTAGTCTCCTTTAAGTCTTTAGACCCAAAATTTTGATGCAAGATCCACCCCAGGGAAGGGGGAGTGGTTGGGAAGAACAAGTAGATTTGATGTGGATCAGTGACGTCAGGAAGAAGCAATGATTTAAGGGATGTGGGTGCAAACTCACCTGGAGAAGCAGAAGGTGCACACGTGTCAAAGGCCAAAGGGCAGAGGCCGAGGGACTCCCTAATCGCAGAAACAGTGAAATGCCCACTTCCAGGTTCTCAAGGATTCCTTTAGGGGCTCAGCTGTCCCTGCCTTTGACGCGACGGACTAACCCTTCCATGCACAGCTGGGTTTGATGTGGAGACAAAGCGAAAGCTATCCCAGTTTCAATCAGCACTCAGGAATCCCTCGGTAGCTCTTTCCTCCACCCCCTCCCGCACCCAAAGCCAGAGACACCTTCATCCTCACTCCCCACCTTCTCCAGGCCCTCTCGCTCTTAACAGCATCGGTCTCTATGGCGACCTGAAACCTCAGTTCCCATTGGTCAGTTCAATATGAGGGCCGGTCCAATGGGAAGGGCCAGCCTTCTCCTTCCGACCAATGGGTTAGGCAGGGAGCAGGTCCGGAGACGGCGGCGTGCTGACGTTCCCGGGAGCCTGGTGCTGGCTGGGCAGGCGGGCTGGCGGCTGGGCGGGCGGCGGCGGCCTCTGGGCAGTAGAGGGGGCTCCGGGGCTGAGTCCGCGTCGACGCCGGCCGCGGAGGCGGCACCATGGGCAAGGGGTAGCGGGGCAAGTTGGCCACCGCCGCCGCCAGGGGTGGTGGGAGAGCCGCTTCGGGGTAGGGGGCGGGTGGGGGAGGGAGGGGCGGGCAGCCGCTCGGCCGCGGCACTTTTTTAATTTTTTCGAGTGCCGCAGCGGCGACCCCACCGCGCTGATGTTCCTGATCCCTGGAGCGACGGCGGCTACTGCCTAACCTGGAAAGTAAGTGTGCGGGCTCGCGGGAAGGCGCGAAGACTCCTGCTCACAAGACCCCCGGCCCTCGCCCCCTCGGGCCGGAGACAAGACCTGCCTGCGAGGGGCGCGGGGAGGGACGGGGACGGGCGCCTCCCTCCCGTTACTATGTCCCCACCGCCTCGCGGCCGCCTCGGTTTTCCTGCCCCGCCTCGTGTTCCTGCCCGCACTCGCCTGCTTGCTCCCCTCCCCCCGGTAGGCGCACAAGTTTCACCCTCCATTTGCTTTTCCCGGCGATTACTCTTCCCCGGGTCTCCCCTACGTTGCAGCGCACGACCCCTCCCCGCATTTGTCTTTTTGGATCTAGGGCCCGCAGCCCCAAACTTGAGCGCCACGCCGAGCCCTCCTGGACGTTTGCCGGGAGGCTTCCCCTCTCCTGCCCGCCTGGTACGCCGCCTCGCGCCCCCAGCACCCCTGGGCGCCCGCCTTCCCGAACCCTCGGGGAGGTCCGTCCTTTCCAGCCCCTACTCCTGCACCTTGCCCCCCCCCTACTTCCTCCCACGTCCCTTATGCCCGCGCTGTCTTGCGTTTGCCGGGAGTCCCGCGCTTCTAGCCCGTCCTGCCCACCCACCCGGTCCAGTGCGCCCCTCTCTCCTCGCGGCGTATCCTCACGCTCCACCCCTCCCGGTTCTCCAGCCGCAAGCTTCCCCGGCTGCCCTCTTGCGCGGCCGCTTCCTTCTCTCCCTGCCAGGAGTTGAAGAGGAGCTGCGGCACCCCCGGGCGGATAGAGTGTCCCTGCCCGCCGCTGGCGCTGCCCACCCCTCTCTCTTTTCCCCTCTACCCGGGAAGCGAGGGGCTGAACGGCTGGGCCGAAATTTGGCTGCGTGTTGGCTGAGTGCGACAAACTGCGCGAGCGGGCAGTAGGGGCGCCGCGGCGGCCGTGGCCGCGCGGGGCGCAGCAGTAAGCAGGTGTGTGTATCTGGGGGGGACGCGCACCGCGGGCTCTTCGGCTGGCGACGGATTGTGCAGGAATGCGAGGAATGCACCGGGAGCCTAGTCCACGCGGCCCGCCGCGGCAGAACTAGAGCCTTCCCTAGCCCAGCTCTCGCTGAGCAGCCAGAGGTCACCGGAGCATCTTCGGAGCTGGTGAGCCTCTCTCCACTCTTCTCCTCCCCTGGCTTTTCTCCATGCGGCAGAGGGCGGCGGAGGGGAAGCGCGGCAGTTCTGTCGGGCTTCAGCTAGTCTTTCGTCTGGGATTTTGCTGCATTGGTCTCCAGGACCGTGAATTTCGTGCCGATGGCAGTATAGCCAAGGTTATTGATAATCGCACAAGGTTCTTGGCAAGTTTGGTTTGCAAGGTTTAAATAGTGCCTGGATTTTACGAGTTGGTTTTTTTTTTTTTTTTTTTTTTTTTGATCTGCAGGAAAGGGTGCCTAAGGTTCTTTGAGTAATAAGCTTGCAGCCAACATATTTTGGCTCTATCAAAAAATGTCTGTTAATGTTCATGGACGGGGATGTTCTTCAGTAGATAACTTGAATGCATCACTTTGCTGTCATAAAAATTGTAATTTTTTTCTCGAAAATTGTAATTTTTTTTCTCTCATACTGGACTGTGTTTAGACCTCTTACAATCCGTGATGAATAGACAGAGAAGCAGTGTTTGGTCAGCGATGGGACAGATAGGACTGTCTGGTACAGTTAAATTCGGGGCGTGTCAGTTACCATTGGAAGTAACGGGGTACTACAGATGATGTATATTTTAAGATGTAATTTATTAGTTGAGGTAGCAGTTCTTTCTCTTTTTTTGGCACCGAGTTTGAACGTAAAATAAAAATACAGGTCTATGACTTTTAAATAATGGTGATGATTTATGTGTAAAATCCAAAATGATTATAGTTTTGGTCAAATTTATTTTCCTTAATGCAGAAAAGCAAATTTTTGACAGAAGTTGCTTTGCTAGAACAGGGCTTAGATTGTCTTATTTTAAAAGATAAAGTAGAAGACCACTTCTCTTTTTGAATGTAGTGTATTGCAGTAGGAAGTATTTATTTTCCTTCCTGGTACCAGTGAAACAGTTACGGAAAATGGTAGCATTCTTGCCTTCTCAACGACATGAGAACAGTTGATGGCCAAAATAAGTATTTCTGGATTTGAAAAAGTATTCTGTGTGCGCTTTTATGTGACACAGTTTGCTTTGGAGGTTGAATTTACTATAAGCCCACATGTTTGGCTATTTTGTATCAGATTCAGGAAAATAGTTGATGGTCCAGCTGTCTGCTAACACCTTCTGTGTAGGGATCAAGGGCATTGAAAAGTATAAAATGAGAGCCTTTTATTTGGTTAAGGACCCAACGGGAAAGGAAAAAAAAAAAAAACTTTGTGCTGGATAAGGTTGTGTCTTTCGGCTGCTACATTGTTTTCCAGGTATGGTCATAGTAAGTAGGCCTTCTAATTTGGAGGTTTAGCTCTAAATTAGAGTTAGTAACACTGTGTTGGATATTGGGAAGTGTTTGGAGAGGTGAACAGGAAACTTATTATGTAACACACTCCTCACAGCAGAGTTTAACACGTGCATATTTGATGTGATATGAATATATTAGAAAGTAAAAGCACATTTAATTTCTCTACTACATTAGAAATTGAAATAGCCCATGCAGGTATATAGAAAATGTGTATATACATTCATATCTATGATTGGCTGTACAAATAGTTTTACATGCTTCAGGGTAGGCTTTCAGTTAGAATTATAGTCTATTTGTTATTGACATTTGAAGAGAAGAAGTTTTAAAATTGGTTTTCGTTCACAATAAAATAACAAACTATTTCAATCATTGCCTCCCTAACTACCACTATTATATAAGAGAAAGTGCTGTATTTCATGTCTTATATGTTATATAGAAGATTCTAAATTGGGGGACAAATGTCCAGTTATCTTAATTCTTACCCATGTTGTTTTTGGAAGGAAATAGATGACCAAGGTAGTGATCGAAAGCACGAGTAAGAGAAGGTAAGCAGAAAGTAGGAGCAGTTGGCATTCATCCAGAAGTGGGGATAAAAGGCTACTGCTGCATATACAAGCTGAATAAACCAAATCTAATTCTATCAGTGGTTCTGACATCATTTCAATTTCAGGAAACTACTACCAAACTCAGTTCAACAGGAACTTTAGCAATTTTATAACCTTGAGTATTTGGATTGTCTGTGTTAAGTCAGAGTTAACAATTTTCTTTCCTTTCTATACAAATTGGGAAAGGGATTTTAGTTTAAAGCTCTTAAATTTGCTTAATTTTTAAAAATCCAATTATTGTCAGTTTTCAAACTGAGTTATTTCCTTGTTGTTGACCAGGGGTTGATTTAAATAGAGAATTTCCATACCCTGGATGATGCCAATCATTTACGTCCAGTGCCTCACCTTACTGCTTTGAAATATTAAGGTATTTTGAGATTGCTCCATAAGCTTTTTTTTTTTTTTCCAGTCAAGAGGGATGTCCCTAATTTGCTTCATTGTAAAGTGGCTATTATTGCTTCCTTTTTAAGTGAAAGATGAAGTAGAGGTTATCCAAGGGTTCTTCTAGGGATTAAACATTCATGGAATTGTATGTCACTTTGGGAAGTTACCTTCACACCTTCAGTGTACTGGGAGATAATTACTTCCTCAATGTGTTAAATGGTTTTGTAGTGTCTTTCCTGCAATGAAGAGGGGGGAAAAATCTAATTCATAACACCACTGAACTGGATATGTTGGCAGTGCCCAGTAACTATTTCATGCCCAAACTGTAACTACAGATAGCTGCAAATAGATAAGACAGACAAAGTGAAACTTTAAGTATACCTGGCTTTAAGACTTGGCATACTGCCAATAAGTGATGATAACAGTTAGCAAATCAGTTTGATGCCCAGCAGTGGAAAATAACAAGTTTCTTTTAGGGTAAGGGGATCAGGCCCTGAGTCACAAACAGCAATGATTTATGTGTTTGCTGGTTGCAGTTGAGAAGTTGTATGTATGTCATTCAAAAGTTGCTCCCTCTGTCACTTCAGTAATTCAGTGGAATTATGTTGATCTTTTGGAGGCTGTGTTGCCATAACTAAATTGGGGATATTACATGATGGTGCTCTTCGTATAAATTTAGAATGCTACAGACATTCCATTTGTCATTGATCTGAGGGTTTTTTTTTTTTATATATAATTTAGATTTATTTGATATACCAGTAAGTGTTGGCTACATTGCAGGTCATTTCATTATTCATAGTCTTAATAATATTATAGTTTATTATGACTCCTATATAATGATGCAATGATTCATTGCAAGTGATAAAATATCATTAGAAATTAAACTAAATCTTTAATACTATAAAATATATAAATTAAAATATGGAAGTATTTGAATTATTTTAAGTCATGTCACGGTGAAGCATTTTTCATGAAGCGAATAACGCCTGAGGATTGGTTAGATGCCATTCTCTGAAGGACAATATATCATATAGCCCTCACAGAGTCCAGAACTCACAAATTAAGTGTGGAGAGAGAGAGGATCAAAGGAATCAGTAACCCTTTTTTCATCAACAAGCAAGGCATGTTTAACTTCTATAATTGTTGCTTTATTCAATATGAGTTAGTGAGTTACAGATATCCAAGGATGTTTATTCTGCTCTTCCCTAATCTGCATCCCTGTCCTTTCTCCCCACAACACACATACCACCACCACCACCAGCAATGCATCTGCCTGCTTGGAGAGCCAGAAAAAGCCCCTTTTCAAGAGCCACTTATATAGACTATAGAAATTGGTGCCTAGTGTTGTAGGTTGAATTTAGAGCAGATGTGCATTTTTGTCATAAAAATGATATTATATATGAATGCGAAAGGTAAAATGTGAGGTTGAAGGTGGGCTATCAGCGTACTGTGCAGGTTTTGGGGGCTGGCCTAGAACTTTGAATACAGTGTTTTATGGTCACGTACAGCCCATTACAAATAGACTTTTAGAACACTGGATAGGTGGTATCTGAAACTCTGGTCCACTGTAAGCTCTCTCTTTAATTGCAAACATGAAAAGGAGGTGAAAAGCACCCTGAGCCAGGAACTAGAAGATCTGCCATTAAACTGTATAACCTTGACAAACCATTTAATATTTGGGTTACAGCTTCCTACTTTTAAAGGTACAGGGTTTGGATTGCATTGATCTAAGATATATTTCAACTCAAGGTTCCCAGAGTTCTCAGGGTTTTTTGGTTTGTTTGTTTTTTAAGAAAACAAAATGGTTTCAAAAGCATTCCTGTATATAATCAGTCCTGTTTTCCCTTCTATCCCAAATCATAACAACAGGAGGTTTGGGTTCTCTTTTGAGACTCTTGATTCTCCTTCCTGTTCATCTTAAATAACTTTGTTTTCTTTAACAGTTTAATTTTGGGAAGTGAGGGGAAGAGAATAGACCATATAATGTTTTTAAGGTACATATTTACCCCCACTCTAGTTCAAGGTGAACAGTTGTAGTTTAGGCCAGGAAAAGCTTTTGGGATTTCACCCACACACTGAGTAAAAGCCCTTGAAAAGTGTCATTATAAGGCAGTGAGGTATCGTAATTAGCAGCCAGTGTCATAGTTCAATTCTGGCTCTTCTGTTTACAAGGTGTCTAACTTGATAAATTCTCTAACCTCTCTGGATCTTGTTCTGCTCATCTGTAAAACAGAATGACAAAACTATCCACCTCATATGGTTGTTTTGAGGACTAAATGGGCTAATACATGTCGAGCACTTAAAACAGGGCCTGGCTTAGGGCCAGCTTTAATACATCAAGTCATTTTTATTCTTATGTTGTGGTACTTAATGATGCTTTCTGTAGCATCTGCTATGTCCCAGGCAAATTTTTGGCTTGTTTTCTGTGATCTTAGTCAATATGATTATGGATCCAAATAGGATATTTCAGGAAAGAAAACTTCAAGCAAAAAATATTACGAACTGGATGGTTTGCAAGAGATTGCCTTTAAAGAAGAGAATTGATAAAAAATAAATCAA